GAGGGCCTGTACACAGAGTAAAGAGTGCACTTCGTGTTCTTGCAGATTCCTTTTGGAATGATTCGATTTTGCATGCGAAATTTACAGACCAAGTGCAATGATCACTTTCACTATGCCTTTTTCCAGTGGATAAATAATAAAACAGCCAACCACAATCCTCTCAATTTTAAAGAGCTTAGAATAGAAAGAGTGTTCTCGTCCATTGATGTGGGTGCTGTCATTAGTATGGTGATCGTTCTTGGTGTGAAAAGACATTAACTTTGCTAGAATGTACTCAAAGCTTTGTCAATGGCCTTTTTAAAGTCTTGGATTGTCAAAGAATGCTAATAATGTTGTGATAAGAGGTGTTGTACACCTGGGTTTTCTGGGTTTTCCAATGGGGTAATTGCACATGGTCTTTTAATCTCAGCCTGCCAACCAGCCCCAGGGCTTTCGGTGAATAGAGAAGAGGGGTATCGTTAAGTTTTTAACAGTATTACAGGGTTTAACGCGAAGGATTTTTTCTACTAGGCCGATCAGGCCAGTGGTTGAGATTTTAACTTGCCCTGACAAAGTTTTCACGGGCCCCACCAAAAAAATTAATTAATAGCTATTTCTTAGCCACATCTTTTAAATAATGTGGCAAAATAATGTCTGTGAATCTAGAATTTAAACATTTAAAAAATGTGTATAATTAGCAGAGTTCAAGATTTTATGCAAACGAAAGAGCAGTATGGAAAATGTGCTGGTATTTTATTGCAATTCTAAATTATTTTGATAAAAATGGCTTGCCAAACTGACGACAACTTTTTTTTTTTTATCTTAATTTTTTACCCCTGCAGTTGTCTGCTTCCAAGACTTTAGAAACAGACGTTTTCTTTTAGCCTCATAGTTTGATGTTGCTGCCATGTTTTCGCTGCACTGGTTGTTATCAGGTTACAAAAAAGAAAATAAATAACGTGTTCATCGTTACTGACTGATAAGGGCCAGTCACAATCCTGTCTACTGTCCCGAGTGTCTTTCATGCTGGCCCCGGGCCTCGGAGCAGTCCTTGTTGTTGAGCCCTGGTATTACTACTTTTATCGATACCACTTATCGGTTCGGTACTTTAACGGTTCTCTTATCGGTACTTTTTGTAGTGTTTTTTATTTTTTATTTTTACGAAAAAACAAAAAATGAATTGAACAGAAATAATTCATTTATTTTATTATTACGTTTTTATTGTAAAATAAAACGGAATCAGTAATTGTAAAAACAAATTTTTTTTCTATAAAAGAATGTAGAGAAAAATGTTTGCCTTTTCTAGCAGAAGTCGGGATCTTTCTTGGTTTGTGCTCCCTGCTGTTAGAAAAACCCTTTTTGAGTTGCAAAATACCCTCTTTAGGTTGCAGAATGCAGTTAAATGAGAATGTTTAAGATTTTTCATTAACGCATTTACATTAATGAGTTAACGGTGTTTTGGGAGTTAACTGTGTTTTTAATAAAGCTTTGGAGCATGTTGCAATGTTAAAATAAGTAGTTTTTTTCTAATTTCTTAATGCATAGTTTATTATTAGGCTATTCATAGGCTATATTTGTAAATACAGCTGATGTAAAAGCATTTTTAATGTTTAAGATTTATTTATGCTACTGCAGAAAAAAATACTGTTTTCATTGTAACCGAATGTGTGTGTTTATTTAACTATTAATATTATACTAACATTACCGTTAGTAGCTAGGCAGTCAAAAACTTTTCATTTGTCTTTCTGCAGTTAATGCACTTTTGAAAGATACTTTCACTTAGCCAGATTGCTTGCGTATCCGCTTAGACAAAAAAACAACTTATTGCGTTGTTGCAACTGTCATTGTCGCTGTCCACTCGGGAGATACAACCCATTTGGTTCACTCCGCAAGCTGTGTGTGCTAGAGTCTTTTTCACTTGTCACGTTGAAGTCAGAATTATTTGCCCCCCTTTGAATTTTTTTATTTTTTTTTAAATATTTCCCAAATAATGTTTAACAGAGCAAGGACATTTTCACAGTATTTCCTATAATATTTTTTCTTCTGGAGAAAGTCTTATTTGTTTTATTTCGGCTAGAATAAAGACAATTTTTAATAATAAATTTTTTTTTAAGGTCAAAATTATTAGCCCCTTTAAGCTATATTTTTTTTAGATAGTCTACAGAACAAACTATTGTTATACAATAACTTGCCTAATTGCCCTAACCTGCCTAGTTAACCTAGTTAACCTAGTTAAGCCTTTAAATGTCACTTTAAGCTGTATAGAAATGTCTTGAAATATATCTAGCAAAATATTATTTACTGTCATCATGACAAAGATAAAATAAATCAGTTATTAGAAATGAGTTATTAAAACTATTATGTTTAGAAATGTGTTTTAGAAGTCTTCTCTACGGTAAAGAGAAATTGGGGAAAAAATAAACAAGGGGGCTAATAATTCAGGGGGGTGGCCTAATAATTCTAACATTTCTCATGTGAGATTGCCAACTGTGCAGACGAATATCAAATATTGTAAATGAGAAAAGGTTGGTCAGTTAAGTTATGCTACTGTAAGTAATGTTTATTCAGCAGTAATTTTCCAGTAACAATAGCAGAACTATTAACGTCAGAGCTTATCGATACTTCGGTCTTTTATAATGTAGTAACAATAAAGTACAGAGTTTCGGTACCCAACCCTACCGGTGAATTGTTATCCAAAATTGCTGCGTTTAAGATTTGTCACTGCCTGGCCTAGATACGATATAAAGCGGGTATCAGACCAAACAAGAAGTACTGCATCAAATGAAATCTTTCCGTGCCATGCCTTTAAAATATGGAAATTAATTTTACCCTAGTGTTTTCAATGAAATTTCTGTGCTGACCTGTAGCTAATGACAGCTGGGCGATTTGGCCTCAAATCCAAATCTCGATTAATTGAACATTTTTACTCAATTATGATTAATGAAGGATTATTTTATTTTGTTTATTTTTTGCCTTTATAGTTCACTGAGAATTTTTGTACAGTAAATATGCTCGCAGATTACAAGAGATTTTTGAATGAAGTGTGCAATAATTGATGTTAAAATTAATACACATGATTTACTATCTACTATTATGTATTGAACATCAACGTTGAACATTTTTTTCTTATTAAAAAGTAAAAAATAAATGTAAAAATTAAAAAGTAAAAATTTGTTTTACTTTTGGAAACAAAATAAAAAATTTTCAGTGTTTTTCATATTAAAATTAAAAAAATAAGCAGTATCTCTTCTAAATAAAGTAAACACTTGTAAACACTTGCTCCAACTGCCGTCCCACGGCTCTCCGTGTCACCCACACACGTAATTGCTTTAAAAATAATCACAGAGCTTTAGCTACGCCTCGTGTAGTTGCATTTTTGAGAGGTGTGCGGGCATGCGGTAACGCGAAGGCTACGCTGGACCATACACTTGCGCTCGTCGTAGAAGCTAGGTCACGTGACCACACGCGATAGAAAAAATAGTCGAAAAAAATTGACCTTGGAAAATTAGATCGATTATAGGTTCTGATTATGATTAAACAATTTTTTGATTAATCGCCCAGTCCTAGTGCCTGCATTTAAATGGTCTTTCGTCTCTTTTTACGCTTTAACAACCAAATGGATGCTGAGCTCTATTTACCTGTAACTGATCATATTTGAATTACATTACTACATCAATGCTGTACAAGGAATCTTCTGAAATTTAAAATAATCACATAAAGCTCTTACCGGACGTTTATCTTCGGATAAAACAAACTCTAGCTGTGCATGTAGCCCGTTGGTAGTCGCCCCAACATGTCACTGTTGATTTGCATTTAAGCACAGCTTAGCTTTCTCACGTCACCAACAGTCACTACTGCTTGTGTCAGCAAAAATCATCAGTTTACATTGCTCAAGAAGGATGGCACGTTGCTTTTCTGCAGTCAGTTTCAGTATGAATCCCATAACACGTGGATCATTGTTTTTATTTTTTGCATCTGCACAGCTCTGATTTGCCTGCTTCAGCTCTCCCATGGGACATTGTGACAAATTCTGCTTAAGTCGGGCCCAAAGCAACATGTGCCAGAGGGTTTGATGACTAACTTTGCCCTGCCTGTTCTGTTTTCCAAAGAGCTCAAAGAGATTTTAGTTGCTCAAAACACAGAGTTCCCTACAATGATAGTGCCTGGGTTGGTTTGATTCTAAACAAATCATCGTAATGGTAGTCATTGTCTTTTTCAGCCATTTTTATTACATTTACATAAGCCATTACGTTAATCATTGTAGGTTTTTAAATGTCGGCCAGCCTGTTTTATTTTTGGTCAAATATATTTCTGGTGTCATGCTTAACTGGAGCTATTGAGATATTTCATTTATTCATTTTCTTGTCGCCTTAGTCCCTTTATTAATCCGGGGTCGCCACAGTGGAATGAACCGCCAACTTACCTGCACGTTTTTACGCAGCGGATGCCCTTACAACCGCAACCCATCTCTATGAAAGTATTGAGATATTTAGTGTTGATATTTGCAGTAATGAACATCTTTGCGGCTGGGTCAGGTCATTTATCCGGAAACATCAGGGTTGAATTCCAACATTACATAGCTAGCATATGTGCATCTTCTCCATTAATTGTCTTATTCATTACTTCTTACTAGGGCTGTGCAATTTGGAAAAAAATGTAATTGTGATTTTTTTTTAATTTTGTATTTAAAATTTTTTTGACAGATTTTGTCATTTTGATTTGCAAG